TTCCTGCTGCTCTTAATAACTTCAATGAGAGGATTTCTGAAGAAACATCATCTGTTATCCCAAAATTTATCTTATTCTGCTTTTGCCCTGATGCTTAATGAGATAGCTGCACTTCGATGTAAGGGGAAAAGTACAATCTTTTAACAGAAACTGATGTAGGTCAATCTCTTTTATACCCAGAGTTAAAACAAGGGGGGAGCCAAGCATTTCTTACATTTGGGGGATTCCCTGAACATTTTTGCCTTATTAACCAAGGTATCATGAGCTCTGCTCTGAGTCTCCCCTGGTTGTTCTTTGATGGTATACCCAGAGAGGTCAAGTTGATTCTTTTAATTAGAGGTCTGTTAGGACACTAGTCTGTTGTAGTGTTTGAGCTGCAAGAAGAATGGCATTACTCTCTATTTTATGAACTAAATACCAGATGAGGGAATTCTTTCTCCCAGAGGGTAGCCAGTCTTGCAGAATGTAATCCACCATTCTGTGTTTTCTATATGGGATGCCTTCATACCACCATCAAAAGGACACGAAAACAGGTGCAACACACAAGCATCTGTGCAGGCCATTCATTTCCTACTAAATTTTCTTTAGCAAGAAGTTTTTTCTTTTCTTTTCATATATCATCAAAGATGATAATCTAAATTAAGTAATCTCTCTCTCTCCAAATATGCTGGGGAAATTGACATTAATTGTAAAATAACAGCAGAAATAAAGATCTCCTTGAGAGATTAAATCAGGAGTGTCAAACTCATTTGGCCCCATGGGCTGAATGAGGACTATGGGGCTCCTCACGGGCCAGAGTAGGGACCTACCTCCAGTAATGGGGTGAGCAGGATGATGTTAACACCCTCGGCCATTGGTGCCAACTTTTATTTTTGCTGGGGGGGCTTAAAATGGTGCCCCCACCCCTTTCCTGGTGGCACTGACAGAGCAGAGCAAATGGAGCCCGCAGGGGCAGATGTGGATGTGGGATGCCTGCTATGGGCTTTGGGCTCCCTGCTGCCTTCCCCCACCCCCCAAGCCCTGCATCAGCTGTGTTGCCATGGTGAGGTAACCCCTGCCCATCGGGCAGCAGTGGGGGGCACAACTCCACACCGCCACCTCTGTTGCTGCTGGGTGGGCAGGGTGTGCTTCACCATAGTGTAGCTGGTGCAGTGCTCTTGGGGGAAGAGCAGCAGGGTGGGGAGCCCCGAGTGCACAGTGGGCAGACTGCATCCACCACCACCCTGTGCACAAATCTGGGGGGCACATGCCCCCCATTTCCCCCTCTGTAGGAGTGTGTGCAGTGGCAGGGAGCTTCCCCCTCCCCCCTCAAATGAGATGCCCATGGCTCTATCCTGCTCCCTACCCTGACCCTGTGGCAGAAGGCTACCTCTGTTTCTCCCCCAAAACTCTGCTTTGTGACAATTTGGTTAGGATGGGCCCTGTAGAGGGTACACACCTTACCCTATCTCTTTAGGTAACCTGAGCTGGATACATTCCTGAATGAGGGGGGAAACCTGTTCCCTCTATGTGACTGGCATTGAATACCTGGGTGAGGGGCTTGGGCTCCCTGGTGGGCTAGAGACTGCCAGTCTGCCCAGCAACCAGTGGTGCAGTTCAAATTGGTTGACTGACAGCCAACAGATGCTGGCCTCCATTGGACCAGGTAAATGAAGTCATAAGGGCTATATAAGTTAAGGACTGCCTGGGAGGAGGGGGTAGCAGCCATGGGAAAAACTCAGAGAAAGAGAGGGGCTGGACCATCTGAAACTTGCTCTCTCTCTCAAAACTCATGATCAAGGAACTGCCTGCCTCCAGAGGGAATCTCCACCTGCCTCTGGATGATACTTATGAGTAAGCTACCTGAGATCTAACTCGATATATATAGCTTGCAGTAACTCATATGTGATCAAAGGCTACTCCAGCCACCCTGTTGCTCTATGGGATTTCTCTGACACTACTCAACTCTGTACCGTATTCCAACCCAACTCCTTGTAACCAGTAAAGTTCTCCTTTGTACCTAGCATGGGAGACTGATTGGGAGTGAGCCTAGATTATGCCTTGGGGTCCCCTTAGTTCAACTGACTAAAGGAGACCACTATGTGTGCTTCTGACTGAGGGAAGCATCCCAAGTTCTTGAACTGAGTCAAGTACCCTTGAGGGCTACTAGGCCTGTGTTTCCCAGGGGTCATCATGCCATAATCAAGCCCGTCCCTGGGTGGTGGCAGCTGTACCCCCAGACTAGTGGGTGTACTTCAGGAAGGGGGTCGGCCAGATGTGAGGCACCCCCAGGGAGGCACTTGGAATCTGGAAGGTGGTCGGACGCAGTGAGGTGGGTGGCTTAGCGCAGGACCACCCCCTACTGGCCCACCACAGACCCTCGGCCCCATGAACTGCTCTGACTGGGCAGCACCCCCAGGCCCAGCCCCTACCCCACTCCCTCCCTCACTGTGCAGGCCTCAATCTGCTGCCCCTCCTCTGACTTACCTGCAGGCAGCTGGGGGAGCTGCTATCCACAGCTGCCTGGAGCTATATTCCTGGCCATGTGCATGTGTGTGTGGGTACATGCATGTGGCACCCTCTGCATCTCTACAGTCCCTTGCTGGCTTGAAGTCTCCCATCCTGCAAGGGGAAACCTCCCATTTCTCACATTTTTCCTCAGTGAACAGAAAACCTGGATCCCTGCATGATACTGGGAATCTAGTACAAATGCTGTCCCAAAGTCATGCAGCCCAGGGCCGGGACTTGATATTCCCATTTCAGAACTGTCCTGTCCAATTAGGGATGGGTGGTAACCCTATCCTCTTCCCATGTACTTGGTGCCTATGCCCATGGCTGCCTGAGTAGCTGTCAGCTCAGGGAGTTGCATGGGTTAACATTACCGTCGCCCGCTCCACTGCTGCCAAAAAAATCCCCAGTGGGGATTCATATCCAGGATTTTGGCAGTGGGGCAAGTGGTGGTGATATTAATCCCCACACACTCTATTGGCTCAGTCACTGGAGCTAGTGCAACCACTGCTTGTTTCACTGCTAAAACTCTGGTCCCTGTAGGAGCCCTGAAGGCTGGATATTTGACACCCCTGAACTCAACAATCTAAGCCAGATGTCTTTTTGTTCACATGGTTATATTTGCAAGTAAAAGCAATAGCATATTACAGGTACTCCTCACTTAACGACCTACCTGTTTAACGACAGGTTCTTATTTGGGTCAAACTCTCCTGATTTTTTTCCAGCAAGCTGTATACATGGCATGTAAAAATCAGGGTTTTTTATGAAATTATCTATCTTTAGGTAACCAAGTATGAACATTTTGTCCTCTGCAGTACAATGAATTCTTAATGTATGTCTTTTTCATTTCATTAAAGCACAGCAATATATATTTTAAAAAGTATCTTTTAAGCCCCTGGCTCCCATTCTGTCTCTGCAGTCTTCTACTATACTATTCTCTTTATGCAGGTTAGTGAATTACATTATCATTCTCCGTAATGTACTCTTTCACTTCAGACCAAAAATCAGATACTCCACTCTGCTGGTTTTTTAGTCACTATCTAGTTCTGACAGTACAGTGTCACATCATCAAATGGACTTTTATCCTGGATGAGGTAACCACTTAAACCTATGGGATGGTATATGAAAACCTGTAAGGACTGAATATTTTGCCATTTATTCTGTTTCTAAACAGGTTCATGCCATTCTCATGTTACTACTCAAGGTACAGTTTTCAAAAACCTAGTAATTTAGGAACTGAGATCATACTGTTGAATAACACTAACTCTGATGGAACATTTAAGAAGCATTATCTTTCACTGAGCAAAGAGATTTTTAGGGAGGACATCTGCAAATGCCTAAGTAGTTTGCATATAAGTTCTCCCTGTGGTAGCATCACTAAAGAATTCATATTACAATTGGATTTTGAGGATTATATGAAAACTGTACCCCTGGATAAGAAGCCTTCAATTTTGAAGAGTAAGTTCCTATTTTTGTCAGTAAAAAAGATATTATAGAGGATCTGAATCCTCCACTGAAGCTATTATCTCACTGAAGGCTATGTGAAATCCAGAAAATCCTTCCTGTTGGTTAGATGGCCATGATGAAGTCTAAGCATGCATCCATTCTGCTCAGGGTAGACAGGTGAGAAATAGCAGGTTCTCTAAGATAGTTTTACCATTTAAAAAACCCCTCCTCAATGTACTTGAGGGGAGGAAGTATGGGCTATAATTATTTTACATTTTATGTATAATAAAGATTTTTTCCAGTTGCATAATGAACACTTCAAAACTAATGTTTTCTTGAACTATAGTTTCTCTGTTATTTAAAATTCCCAGTAGAACTGGCAATTCTAGTCCTGGAAAATACCACTTTTCATTGCCATATTATACATGGCAGGCCATATGTGAATCAGAGAATCTCTTACACATCCCACATACTTTCTACCCAAACTTGTTGAAATTATGTTCATGGATGCAATTTGTGCCGTTATAAGACAATGCATTGCCTTCAAAGGTATAACTGTCATAGCTGTTATTGCTCTGGTGGCGTTTGTGGCCTATTTAAGCATACAAGGATTAATGCATCTGTCATGCCACATATGATCAGTGTTGTATTTGCATTTTCTCCCTACAAGTTCTATGTTTATGGAAGAGTAATTTCTGCAGTGCTCACAACAAATGGGGTAAGTGTGTGTGAGATTTACAGCCTCTCAGAAAGCATAGTGTCATTTCACTTTTATGGAGTCTTTGTGACACTTCTCTGACACAAATTGAGTGGTGTTATCTCTCATCTCTCTTTCAGAATTTTCTTTAATTCCTGTTCCTCTCTGCTGCTTGCACTGGATTGAGTTTTGTATGCCAGGGGAAGGATCCAGTCTAGAGTGAGAAGCTACAGTTCAGTCTGGTTCCTTGGATAATGGAGTTTGTGAGTCTATTACTATGTGCATTTGCTAGTTTAGGGCTGTGCACCCAAAACAGCAACTAAATGTTGACTCTCCTACTGTCTCTACAGCACTTAAGCTAGGTACGGACATTCAGTTGGTAGTGAACAGAATATACATTGGCCCTTTGGTAGTGGTGGGAGGGAGGCATAAATCTTAGACTGGGTTCCATCATTTTTAAGCCAGTGTATGTGCTGAACCTCTGTTCTATTATGGGCATAGACTGGTTTCTGTTCACTTAAACCAGTAAAAGCATAATATCTGTACCTGGCCTTAATGACTAACTCTGCCTGAAAGTACAGAGCTTGTAAAGGCAGGGAGGAAGTGAAAATAGTTTTAATCTGATTCATTACCAGAAGAATGTGGACAAGACCCATGAATGGAGTTCAGTACTCATGTTCTAGGAACAACAGCATGAAACAGTGTCTTAGCAAAGGCAGGATGCTTGGATTCTTTGGATTCATCCTTCATAGATCAGGAAACGATGCAGAAGCACCAGTGAATCAGAACAAATTGGCCCAAGGGAGAGAAAAAGGAACAAGGACTATGATGGGCTATCAGAATTGGGAAGGTTTCAGAGATTGCCTTCAGGGCTACTAGAAGGGAAGAATAACTAGAAGAAATATCAAGGAAGTTGTCTGAATGGGAATTTCTCTCTAGGGGATCTGATGTTCTGGTGTATCCAACCCCATGCTCTCTTGAAATCTGAGGCATTCTATAAGGGTCTCCCAGTCAAGGACTGACTAGGACTTGTTCAGTTATGATATGAGACAAGCATATAATCTAAAGCAGCAGACCTCTGGCTGTGCAGCAACAGTAAAAACGACCCATGGAATCCTTCCCCATTCAAAAGGAGGGCAACATTTCCCTCCATTCCCCTGTTCAAAGAGGAACATTAGTTGAGGATCTGTCTGTGTGTTTTCTGATGCAAGAGCTGCTTCCAATAATTGAACAAATGTATATACCTGGGGAGAACTAATCCATAATGCTCATCTTTGAAATCCAGAGGGCTGGATGACTCATGTGCATGAGTGGCCATTTGAAAATTCTACACTCCTTGGGGAATAGGTAACTCTAGCCTTTCATCTTCTAAATCAGAGGTGCTATTGCACATAGTTTGAATAACTCAGAAAGTGCAATTAAACAGGAGCAACTAGCCATGTGCCTGGTGAAGGACAAAATTACTTATCAATCATTATATGAAACATTGCCCAACAGTTTAGTAACATTTGCATTCTTTACGTGGTTGGTGGTGAGGACAAAGGCCCTCTCACCTCAGGTTTGCTGAGTTGAATTGTTTTTGCCTGCAATATGTGACTCTAAGGCTTTGTGTAGGTACTGATTCTTTAACATCCCTG